GTTGCTCAGTCGTGTTGCGTGGTGATGAACGAGTAATGATGGCGCAGCTTGGAGCTGATAATCGTCACATTTGATGACTGGGCTTATGCTTGATGTTAAGTCTCAGAGGCGTTGCACGGAGCTGAAAGTCTCCTCTTGGACACCTTGAGTCATCTTAGTACTAGCGAACATCTAAAAAAAATTTGCTCGAAACTTCTACGAGGCCAGCTCCTTGTCACTAAGTCATAGCATCTGTCTGAAAATCAAATATATTTGGAGGCAGCAAATGGCCAGATATATTACATGGTACGGACAAGCGGTGAACCTCTAGGTTTGCGCGCTGATTTGCAAGTTTACAGATAACAGAGTTCCTTCAGAAACCTATAGGGAGACCACATAGAGACAGTGTTGCAATCCAAGTCCCTATCCTCTCATGATATCTTTACCAATCAATTTTCTCCTTTAGTTCCTTGCTGGCTGCTTCTTAGGAGAAAACATGAACCTTGACGGCTCGATCTTCAGTCACTTCGAATGATGGAGCATGATACGGCGCCTTCGCCCCCTTCGCCCCCTTCGCTCGTGCATCCAAGATATCCAAGCTTCGCGGAGACCCGGTATACGTGTAAGGATCATTTTTATCCGAGGGCAGTGAATCCACATTAACAATATGTAGTCCATCCTTCGTTGCTTTGGCATTAAGCTGCTGCAAACGATAATCATCACCTCCCTGTATGTCTTTCCCAACAGGCCATTGTAGCTGCTCGTTCGGTTCGTCCTCGAGGTCTTTCCAGCCATCGTGTCTTGATCCCTTGGATCCTGTACCGCTTTTGCTGAAGAGGCTTGAGGCTTTTGAAAAATTGACGGGGAGGTTTGTAAAGAGATGCCGGTAGGTCACGACGCAGGCGCAGAGGATTGCCGTTGCGGGTTCGACTTGGCACCATGTGTACTCTGCTGCCATGAGTACTGGTCACAAGTTAGTATAGTGAGATATTCACCTTCGGATGCGAATACTACTAGTCATATCCTCCTTCCGTATATCCCCAATCTTGACAACGCGCATCGCGCCTGCTATGCAGACCCTGCAGGTGTTTAGTCAACCTTCCAAGTTACAAGCGGAGGGAAGCTTACACGCTCCCTAGCATGAAGATACCTGGCAGAAGAATTTTCTGTCTGGTAGGCATTTTCAAGTCCCATACCATGTGCAAAGGCAAGAGCAACATGATGCCGAGGTTTGCAGCAGTGGCTCCCCAATAGTAGCCATGGAGATTTATAAAGTGATCCGTGAATAACATCTCAGGATTGAAAGCATCGCTGAAAGGGTGGCGCTGGAATATATCCATGAAGAAGGATATGGAGAACAAAGATTGTGCAAATGATACCGACGAGGAGGATTTGCTTCCTGAACGCTGGCGTACTGAAGATCCGGCGGTACAGCAGCAGCAGCAGCGGGATCTTTATCATGGTAATCGTAAGGCTGTAGGTCACGATTCCGCACATCATCAACTGAGGGTCCTAGAGTTTTAACAAGGACTCGTGTGACGGCTCGGCACGCACCTTCAAGCAAAGTGATATTTATGACGTGGTGTGTGTCTCAGCAGGTAGTCCCAAGCCTCCCTTCTTGACTGCTGTTAGAGGTCAGTCTGAGGCAGAATAGGTTGAATGCGTCGGATATACCTTCAGCACCAAAAACAATCATAACGTATGGCGGCAAAACACTGATGGCAATCAGAACGCCATCAGCTGCAGAGTCTGCCTTACTTCTCCATCGTGCGAGGAATCGTAAACCGACAGCAAGGGTAACGAGAACACCTAATGTAATAGCAGTACGATTCAACGGATCGCCTATAGGGTTGGCCGGCATTGTGGGAGTTCTTGGAGTGGACTGAGTATCTGATACTGGATACAGTGTAAAGCGTACTTATTATGTGCCGGTACAAGGACCAGAAGGTCGGTGAAAAGACTCAGGCACTTGTCATCTCACAGCCATGCATGCAACATAACTCAGACAGCGCAGAAGTAAGAGAGCTGGTTTCAAAATTGGTGCAAAGAATTAATAGACCAGGGGGACGCAGTCAACACATTCTTTAGGTCTCCAAAACCTCGTGAGCTCTAGACGCTCAAATCAACTATATTTCCCGGTATTGAGAGCATGGTGCTATGAAGTAATCTATAATTTAACATGGTATTGCAGATCGCTCCCTGATCGTAGCGGAGGCATGAGCTATATGCATCGCATACCAATATGGTGCATGGATCGCTACGGCATGGTCCGTAAATATACGGCGCGAAGGTGCGGCCCTCATCCCGGATCTGCGACGGTTTGAATTAGCCAAGGACCTCGTGGCCGATTCAGTCGTCCGAAACCCCTGCAGCAAAGGCGGACATGTAAGCGTTCAGGCCCGTCTGACAGCTCAAAGACCAAACCCTCTTTACTCAGAAGATGCCTGCGATTTTATCAGCGGGCCCGCAAGTACGCGGCAGGGTAATCAGTAAGAAAATAAATGATGTGCCACACCTGCAACATCAATTTTTGAAGGTGCAAAGGCATCATTACTTTTTGAGACTTTGGAAGGAAAGCGGTGCGCAAGATTCTCTCTTGCAGGTTCAATTGATCGAAATGGCCTTGTAGCTCCATGGTTTGGATCCTGAGTGATCCGATACCTAAGGCTGCAGTTCATTTCACATCCTTGCCCCCCTCCTTGACCTATGCACGTCCTGTAACATACAATAGAATCTCGGAAAATTCTTACCAGCACGCCCTCGGATTATGAGACACAGGAGTGAGGTATTTAATCAATCGCGGAGATGGCCACATTCGAATACGTATCTAACGTGCCCCGCACAGCCGCATTGAAGTCTAGACGCTCGAATGGCTTCTCAGGATAAAGCAGCCAAAATCCCGGTTTTAGCGGTGTGCGATCCTTCTCACATTGCTGAAACAGCTGAGCCTTGAGTAACCAACCAAACAATATGCTGTCATGCTTTCAGCTCGATTGCGCGAATTGTCGTACTACGTCAAGCTTCCTAAAGGATTTGAGGGCAGAAGGATCGGCACACCATTATTTGATATTATTTCATTGTGGCGCCTTGTTTCGATAGAATATTCCGAGCCGTGCCACCACTTTGCAAAGTCGATAAGGCTAGGCTGTTCAACGATTTCGAAAGATGGGCGGCCTCGAATCAGGAGCGAGATCGCCGCAGCTCTATCGTTCTAAAGTTCTAAGGTGGCTAGCTACTTTTCGTGAACAAGTAGCTACCCTTTGGGCGCCTTACCCTGAACTACTACCGAGACGGATTACTACCCAAGTGCTTTCCCGCAATCCGTTTGTTTTGTACCCCACTAACTGTTACTCGATTTGACATTTTGCGTGGGCAGTTTCATCCTTCGACAGCCAATGCGGCTGGAGGCAATTTCGGCTCACTTATCCTTGTTTCATAGGCTAGCTTTTGCATCGATAGTAGAGCAGCAATTGCGCTATGGCCTTTTAATCACTCAATTCCATCTGTGTAGGTAAACCAGTTCTCACATCTGGATTCTCTGGCCCTAGGGTATTTCCATATGTGTGCTTGGAATTGTTGATGTTCGTGAACCGCTAGCAGTTGACTTGCTTCACCTTTAATGCGCCTTGCACCTCATCGACCATACTATTAAGCTCACCCTCTGCTTGAAATATGAACGAAAATGTTCCTGGTGTCGTCTTGAACTTTGACCTCTGGTACGCTATTTGTAAGGAGGTGTGTGATTCAACTTCAAACCTGGTGGCTGTCGATACAGCACGCTGACAAATTGTCATCCCGCTAGATCTATCGTCTCGAAGAAATAGAAGACCTCGTTGCTATCTGCCTTGTTTCGAGGCAACTAAATGCAGCAGCAATACCGTGGCTTTATCGTTCCGTCAAACTAAACTTCGGAGGAGCAATGGATCCTCTTCGATGCTTCAACAACGACCAGGCACATCATTTAAGCCTAGTGCAAGATTTTATGGTGCAAGGATTCAACCCAGACATCCATTGGGCTGGGCTTCCAAGGCTTGCTGAAGTGATACCATCTCTGCCAAAGCTTCAGCGTTTTGGGTTCGTAAATGGTCGTGTTTTTTCGTGTCATAGTCTATTGACCGTCGTAAAATAGTTGGGAATCGATGGTATTGATCCCAAGCACATTGATGAAAGCTGTGGAGACTCATCCGGGCGTAAAAGAAATAGTGGAAGAGTAACGGCTCTTCGTGAACGATGGAGATCCCAGGTGTTCTTTCGACTATGACCAGACATCACTACTAGCAGAAACATCTCCAAAGACCGCCCTCCTTGGGATTGCAACAGCAAAGCGAACAATAAATACCCAGGCGAACCTGGATGACTTTTGCTTTACCGGCGACCATTTCCTTCCTCTTGCCGCGCTGCAACGTATCGAGACTGCGAGACTTAGAAAACTCCAGCTCAACAGCTGCACCGACATAGGCTACCTTTTCAGTGCTTTGCTGTGCAAAATCGCTAATGTTCGACTCAAGGCCCTGGTGATCACTCAGAAACACTCCCAGCCGGGCACTGGCTATATCGGGAGGGGAAAGATCGAGTGTTTCCTCATGGTGCACAAAGGTCTTGAAGAAGTGGTGTTCTCGAACTTGGGGGAAGACACACCGTGCCTGCCCACTATACTAACTCATGGGCAAACGCTCAGAGTCCTCTAACTATATGCATACCACGTGAACCACACCGCTAGGGCGGGAAAGCGACGAAGTATGCACGAGTTGGAAGATGTGGCTCGCATCCGCACTGCGTGCCCTCACCTGCGTCATCTGGTCGTTGATCGATGTTGCAATGACAGTGGTTCAGAGGGCGCGTTTGCGTGGAAGGCAATGTCGGAACCCAGGACGGATATGCAAGGACTAGAAAGATAATATGGAGATGATTGGGCGTGGCTGGACCCTTTAGTCCTCAAGTAGAAAATGATTCTGATCCGATACTGCAAAAAGATAAATCATGGGTCTAATGCTCTGCCATTGCGTCACCAAGCTCGAGAATGCGGTCATTGAGAATTGAACTCAATTCCTCGCGCTGGCAAAGCAGTGTGCTACCATTACACCATGGCTGCTGTTAAAACGTGGCTCGTTATTCCATATGATACCTCAAGGAGTGATTCATTTGGCAGTGGGGATTTGAGAAGGTTCTTGAGTGAGTCGGGTTCAAAGTCAATCACGCTAAATTTCTGTGAAACGCTTCGAAGCTACAACTCGAGGACGTGCCTGTTCCTGAAAGTGCTTTGAATTGGGTCAAGATTGGGCCGAAGCCCTCGAAGGCTCGAAAGAGGCTATGTCAGGACAAACCATGAATACCAAAGCTGCGGTCTGACAACTATGGAGCCTGCCGCCTCGAAGATGCTGGCTTCCTCGGGTTTTAGCTTTTGAGGCTTGAAGCTCTGCCTGGGCCATGTGAACTAGTTAAGACGTTGACGATGGCGCGGTACAAGTTGAGATAGTAAGTAGGTTGCTCCGTGGACAGAGAGCCAAGCTATGGCCGGTGCGCATCAGAATTTAGTACAGATACTTCAGCTCCAAATAGCTTCGCTGTGTTCCAGAAACTCCTGTTTGTGGGTTCAAGGCATATTGGGCTAGTTTCGAGGTTGCCTACTGTCATGCTATCTTTGTTGTTTCCAGGAAGCTTGAGCGAGCACATTCGTGATTGAAGAGGGTGTTGGTAGGGTTTTATGCAAGACTTCACAGATACCCTAGAAGGATATCGGAAGTACTGCCTGCTTGTCGTGCGTCAAATACATGGCTTCCACACCATGGTAGCGCCTGGATCGAGAGCCTTGGTCACCGATTCGCCGGGGCAAAGGTTCGGCTAGAAGGGTTCACCCTCTGAGTTGTCACCCCGGGCCGCCCTTGAATAGGGCCTAAAGCTTGTCGTCTGGGGGAAAGCAAGTGTCCCCAGAGATTTCGGATTTAGTCCATCTCGGCCCAACTGACAACTCAGGGGGTGAACCCTTCTAAGTGTCAAAGCTGTTGCAATCCGTTGCTTGATTGCTTTCTACGCGATTCCAGAAGCCTGTTGCTAGCCGTTCTTTGTCTGTTATGGCCATATATGGGGCCCTGGGGGCCCCCATTAGCTAGACATCCTTCCCAGCCTATCGCCACATTGCAACAAAAGCTTATGTAACGACGTCCCAAAATTCAAGTCTTGCTCGCCTCCCTTGTTAGCTCCTAAGTTAGTCCGACAAGACAGCTTCGCTCAAAACTCTACCAGCTCCGTTCACACCTCAACGGCCTCCACAAGTCACCAACGTCCTCGCTCAGCCAGCTGCCTCGACACAACTGGACTTTTTACAATGTACTTGCGCGTTGTGAAGACCGCTAACCTGCCCAAGGCTTCGAATGTAGATGTCGCCTGAGTTGCACTACCTCTGGTCAAGTTGTTCGAGCGAATTTAAGCCAGCGGTGCTGGTAGGAAGAGCACCCAAGATGACAGTAGATGCAGGAAGGGCCGCTTTCGGATTGGTGTGAGAAAAGGGGTGGGCAGAAGAGCAAGGTCATATAGGAGCATGGCGTACATCAAGGGAAAATAAGGAGTATGGGCGACGGGAGTCATGAAGACATAAGACTTGATTCGAGATAGGTTTATGCTGTCTCTACCTTGAATCGATTCGTCTTAGGGTTTCTGAAGTTTTTAACTTGTTATCCCGTTTCTCTGTCGTCGGTCAGGAGTGAAATGAGAGGAGAGGGATTTGTTCGTTTGGCTGATGGTGATCAGGTCCGTGGAAACCTCACAGGCCTACCGTGTCCGGAAGCCTCTTACTATTGCTTAGGGTCGGGACATGGTCCGAGTGTGTTACGGAGCCTTAGCGCCTTAAGCGCTTAGCATTCATGTACTCTAGCAATTCTAGCTTAGCGAAAACAATAGCTCTTTTTTACCACCTACAATGCGCACCATAGCCGTAACATTTGGTAGCAACGGTCTACACAGCCTTGAAAGATACACCTAGCGGTCTTTCTAGGCTCGGCCGAGTCATCAGTACTCTGGTAAACCTCAAGGGATTCGGGAGCCACTAGTCGCTTTCGCTCATCCAACACTCCACGCACACCATGTAGCAACGGTCTACACAGCCTTGAAAGATACACCTAGCGGTCTTTCTAGGCTCCGCCGAGTCATTAGTACTCTGGTGAACCTCAAGGGATTCGGGAGCCACTAGTCGCTTTCGCTCATCCAAGGCCCCAAAAGCCTGACCACTACATGATTCATCTATTCGTCACCAAGGCACTTCACGTTCTCAGATCTCGATCCTTACCGCCGCCAGTGGCGTCGTCGGTAATACCATCACCGGAGGTTATCACCACAGCGTGGCGACCCCGCTACACCTACCCTACACTAATACGCCCAGGAGGACCCTTGTTTCAGAGAGTTCGGAGGAGACAACACCTTAAAGTCACGGGACTGCGTAACCCTGCTCCTTATTATTGGCCGTATATTAAAAGGAGAACCTGGCTATGTCCTGTCATTCCTAAAGGGCTCTATCACTGACATAGACATTGGAGCCGCCCAATCAATATACCGACTACTCTCGGAATTCGACAACTTCAGGACCATGATCGCTCGGGACGAGCTTTTCGGTGTCCCCAGGAGATGTTACGGAGCCTTAGCGCCTTAAGCGCTTGGCATTCATGTACTCTAGCAATTCTAGCTTAGCGAAAACAATAACTCCTTTACCACCTACAATGCGCACCATAGCCGTAACAGAGTGCTAGGCAGAAATGGCGAGATCGCCAACATACACCGTCGATGCAAGTTCTTTTGTTAATCTTTTTGCTAAACGTTTCATGTAACGTCTTATCTTATATTCTCTATTTGTTACAATGCAATGATGATATTTCCCAAGACAGACCTTGACGATTTTGTGGCCAATGTGGATGAAGAGGACTTGGACAGATCCTACGAAGTACATTATGATTATGAATACATTTAGCAATTCCGCAAAGATTTACAGCTACGTTGAAAAGGATGCTGCGGATTACTGTTGTTCTATGGCTGAATTGATGCGGTACAACATGATAAGTCTGCTCTGGGTGGGATCTCTTAGGGCTATAACCCTAGGTTCATGTAAAGGGCGACGCCTGACTTCTGTGTCGCAAACTACGTTCGCCAATTGTTCTATAAGCATACCTACTTTGGGACAGCTCGAAGCTTTAGGCTCCACTCAAACTTATCTACTCAACATTTAGGCTCAGGCTGGCTATTCTACTTCGTTCTTTGCCTCTTCAATCAACTTGCTCGAGTCCGCCTGGTACGGCCAGCCAGGTACGGCGATAATAAGAATTTCTGTCTCTGATGAACGTTAAGGGAACATTTAGCACATTGGAGAAGGCTTCTCATGTCAAATATAATCAATTCCTATTTATGTATTCCACGTTTCTCAATGTCGAATAAATGTTGAATGAAGGCTCAAGTTTAGCATTGTGAAACATTCTTACCGTCAAAAAAGTCTGGATGAGCCGTTAAGGTATTCACAATGGTTAGAAGGGCTAAGATAGATTTATGTAGAGCTACGACTCGAAGTATGTATATCACTCTGCGTTTCAATGGCAACAAGCCATTGGGACTTTCAAGATATCTAGCTTGAAGGGGAAAAGAGTGAGGCAATAACATGTTAGGGCACTCTGACGCTGTAATCGAAATGGCACATGCTACACACGACCTTGCAAGCTTACCAAAACATACTCATCATTCTGGGCTTCGGCCGCATATAGATAACAGCAATATAGCACACGGAGCGCAAATTCGTCATCCAAGCAGTCATCCTTCGTCAGACAGCCGAAGATCTCACTGATGAAGCCTGCTGGTCATGGTTTTCCAATGCGCAAGAGCAGAGTGGTCTGACGACAAGAGTCCCTTGATCTTATTCGCCGATCAAGAGAATCTATCGAATTGAGGTCTGTATTCGGGCTGGGTGAGGCTCTATATAGCAGGCCACGTCTTCAATGTCCCCTTCCTTATTCAGACGCTCTAAGATTCGTCTACACGTACACATTATTCAGAGGGTCTCCAGGGTCAATCCGTAGGATTAATTAGTAGGAATAGAGCGAGTGTCACCCGCTGTCGAGAATCAGCCCTAAATGACGCTGCCTGTTCGACCATGTGCTCGTTTAGCCATACGCAGACTAATGTTTAGGATTCTAAAAGAGTCCGAAAACTTACTGTCATAACAATCGTTGATATGTTCTTAGCTTGGTGAGGACTATAGGCGATGATACTGGATGGGTCGTTCATGTGCAACTGGCGATGGGGCGCGTTTTTAGCGAGAAGGCCCATTCGTGGTAGCCAATTCGCTAGACTAGAACTAAATACTAGCTGCAGACGCCACCATCCAATGACCTCGTTTTTGAACAAACTAGGCAGTGATGGGTGAGCCAATAGGGAAACGCAATCCTCAGGTAGATCTTGGATGACGATGGTTTAGTATCAATTCTACATTCGGCTCATAATCCTTGTTTTCATCGTCGGCGTCACCAACGGTGTCAGAACCATCAACATTAAGATCAATGTCGCCCCCAGTGCTCTGCATCTAAAGCATCAACACCGGCCAACGGAGATGGTGCTAGGGCCCTAATGTGTTCTTCTTGACTGACAGCGTTACCGTTCTCCACATTGGCCTGTCGTCTCGACAAGCAAAGTGAGGGCCTCAGGAATCAGGCTTAGTTCGGTAACACTCCAACGCGAAGCTCCCTTCCAAGTCTCCATGACCCCAAGGTCCTACGATATCCCATCCTAGCCAGTCGAGCCTACCCAAGAGACAAGCCTACCTATACAGGCTTCAGTCGTTTCCATGGCTGCCTTCCGTCGCGATTGTCTTCCTCACCACTCTCAGCGCGCCTGCAGCCATGTCCGTCGAACCACAACGTTCGGCGCTATACCAGGTTTCTGGCCAGTCCCATACCGGTGACGACGCGCATATTCGAAACTAGACCCTATAGCCAAGAGTTCGATCACGATTATAGAGCCGAGCTAGTTTGAGCACCGTTGAGACACTCCCTTCCTATCGCCCTTGCTCGAAAGAGATATGTTATGGAAGGCGTGGAGACATGGACTCTGTCAAAGGAGAAA